GGTCGAGGTTTAAGGGGCGATTTTGCCTGAATAAATAAGCGTAATCTGAGAATAACAGCAAATGGCTGTTTTTCGCGGATATCGTTAACTGTCCTAAACCCCTTGTTCAATGTGCCGACGTATAAACATATCTGCTGAAGGGGAAACTCTCTGATGTTACCATCACTGAATTTCGTGCCAAGAGAATTAAAGATGATGTCATTAAATTGCTCCCGTTTGGGAGAACGCAGACTATTTTGTTAATATACTCCTTAAATTAACTACAAAGTGTACTTTAAGTCTGATTCGTCTATCAAGCAAACTTTTCTTTTTTAAAACTGTCTCGATTCTTAGATTTTTATGCCCCAGAGTTCACCAGCCACCGTCACTAGCATTGATGTTCAAAATGACTTCAAAATGTCATACTTGTGCCTGTTGTGATACATTCACCATAACTCCCCCCCTTGGATATCCTTTTCTCTGACACCATTTCTGAATTTTCAAGGGTAGCAAAGTTTTTTTGCAATTCAAGCACCCCTTTATTAGTATTTCTTTATTGCCCCTAGCCTTTTGTAATAAATGTTTCCAAGCAAGCAAAACTTTCTTCAGATTTCGCCTTCGTCAGCTGAATTGAAATTCTCTCAACAACCAAAACACATAGTTGATTATCGAGTATGCAGATGAATTGCTATTTTTCTGTATTCTTGTTAGGCTTATTGGTGGAAAACCTTACTTTAGAGACCCTAGGCTGTTATAAAATTACACTTTGCCCTTTATTAGGCTGATCGGATTCTCAATCTAATCTTAAATTGTTATTAAAAGAAGAATACATAAGACTAGAATCTGTCTTAGGCAAGCAGTTTATTGCACCAAGTGCAAATTAAAGTTTTACTTGAGCTGATCTCCTCCAGTCGCTGTTTCCGTATTTTCGAAAACGTAGCATTTCTCTATTCGTGTTGCCATAAGGATCTCAAATGGAGCCCAAAAAAGCAAACTTGCTTTTTTCTTGATTCTGTCTTTTCTAATTTATTTTGGCCTCCCCTCCAACGCAAATAAGTGGCTCGTTTCTAAACACGCCCACGTTGTTGCCAGTGACCCTGAATATCGAAAGGAAACCCGAAAGAAGCTTATCTCTGCTGCCATTAATGCTCCTAGACACTTCTGTGAATTTCCATGGTTGCTGTCCACAGATGCACCACACTAAAAAAGAACCACGCTTTTTATCTGCTATTCAAACCAGGTTGGATGATAATACCCGAAATCAAGTGGTCCAAACGCATTAAAAACTGATGCACGTCTTTATAGCATCCTTAGTTCTGCTCATCAAAAATTACTTCATAACTTTACTTGACGTATCTTCCTTCAATTGGCCTCAGCTATGGTCTGCTTTTTGAGTTCTTGCCAGGATAATTATTGCTTTCCCACTCTTGGCCCTACATCTTATATTTGACTATATGTGATTGGGGTTTTAAACTGGGAAACAGCATTTTAATCAGCTAGTTTGTTAGGTTGTAAGTTTTATAAAGAGCCGATGCATGTGACACGAGAGCCGTGTTAGTAACTCCCCTTTCTTTGAAAGAACTTTAAGATACTTTTTGAAGAGGCAGGCTGCTCTTTGGTCTTGTTTTGATGGCGCGTATATGAGTTGCTGTGTTAACGATTCTCACATCCGGTCTCTATCTAATTGATGTATGTCGATAATTAACTCTGTTAGTGATGCCTGGCTATAAAGATGTTTCTTGGCAATGGATGGTTCAGGTGACAGTGCTGTTTAAAAAAGACCTTACGGTTTTTCAGGCAAAAATAGGTTCTTAAATACAAATTCTTAATCTGAGAATGACAACCTGTAGGTTTTTGAATTCTTAGGATCTTTTTTGCGGGAATTCACTGTAGCCCATTTAAATGCACCCTAATCCCTCTCTTGATAAAGCCATTGCTATTCCTCTTGGCCATCTCAAATTACGTCAAATACCTTGCTGTGATTCTCTGGTGGCTT